CGTGGTCTCTACTTGCCTGTGAATAGCAGCTGTGAATAGCAGGCGTGGTCTCGACTCGCCAAGTGCTTCACCCAGGAGGTGGCAGACGCCCGAGGGTGGGCGATGGCTAGCACCCCCTCACTCCTCTCCTTAACATCCCCTGTGTGGTGGCGGCGTGCCGTCCTCCCACCCCCTCCCCTTTGGGTGGTCTGTTTTCTGTCTTTGTTGTGTGCTTCACCCAGAGCGCGGCCAGGTTCGACGGCATCAGCGACACCAGCGAGAGCGGCATCTTCATCAGCAAGTAGACCAGGTACGGCTTGTTGGCGAGCACGCGCCTAATACCGCACCACCCACGCGACTGAACCCAGACTGGGTTCGATACTATGGAGGTGGGGTACGGCTTGTTGGCGAGCACGCGCCTAGTACCGCACCACCCACGCGACTGAACCCAGACTGGGTTCGATACTATGGAGGTGGGGTACGGCTTGTTGGCGAGCACGCGCCGCGCCGACGGCACGATCGGCACGGGGAGGATGGTGTGGTCCTGTTCAGCCACCGTGCACCGCTCAGGGAGGAGAGAAGAGGGTGCAGACCGGCAGCCCGGGGGGGGGGGGGAGGGTGGCGTGTGGTCCTCGGGCGGAGGAGGCCTCTCGACCACGTTGCAGAGGAGCGAGGCCCACGCCAGCACGGCGAGGGAGCCGACGGCGAGGGCGAGCATCGAGTAGAGCGCGACGAGGTCGTCGGCAAGGAGGGCAGACAGGCCGATGTTGAGGAGGGGGGTTGCCGCGTACCTAGGGAGGGGTTCGGGTACCGTGGGGGTAAGGGGTGGGTGCGGGTACCGTGGGGGTAGGGGAGGCCGGGGTTGAGGAGGGGGGGCTGCCGCGTACCCGACGAACTGGAAGAGCGTCTTCAGCCCGAACAAGGAGGAGCGCTCGTCGTAGCTGTCCGTCAGCTCCATCCCGAGGGCGTCGTAGGGGATCTGCGAGCAGGTGTAGGCGCCTAGACAAAGAAGCCGGGCCGGGTTTCTGTTTTGAGCGCGTCGTAGGGGATCTGCGAGCAGGTGTAGGCGCCTAGACAAAGACACCGGGCCGGGTTTCTGTTTTGAGCGCGTCGTAGGGGATCTGCGAGCAGGTGTAGGCGCCTAGGCAAAGACACCGGGCCGGGTTTCTGTTTTGAGCGCGTCGTAGGGGATCTGCGAGCAGGTGTAGGCGCCTAGACAAAGAAACCGGGCCGGGTTTCTGTTTTGAGCGCGTCGTAGGGGATCTGCGAGCAGGTGTAGGCGCCTAGACAAAGAAACCGGGCCGGGTTTCTGTTTTGAGCGCGTCGTAGGGGATCTGCGAGCAGGTGTAGGCGCAGGCGAGGTACGTGGCGTAGAGCAGCGCGAACCAAAAGGAGAGCTGCCAGCCCCCGCTCTGCAGCGAGGCCACGCGCGACGGCGAGGTAAAGTCGAATCGGTCGATCTCTCCCTGCTGCATCGCGCGCTCGAGGCAGTCCTTCAGCGCCGGGCAGCCGGCTGGCGACGACGTGTTTAGCACCAGGTGCGTGCACGGCGGCGGGCGAGGCTTTGCGCGCGCGAGGCCGAGCCCGACCGAGGGCGCGTTCACGAAGAGAAAGAAGGCGAGCAACGCCAGCGGGAAGGCGACGGCGATGAAGGGCTTGCGCCGTCCCCAGCGGGTGCGCGTGTTGTCGGACGCCTTGCCGACAGTGAAGCCGAGGAGCAAGTCGAGCGACTTCACCGCGGAGATGAGCGACGCCTGCGAGGAGAGGGTCTGGCCGAGCGTGTCGACCCAGATGACCTGCCTCGCCGGCCGAAACGTGAAGTCGAGCGACGACAGCGGCAGCCGGAAGAAGCAGTACGCCAGCCTCGAGCCGGCGCTCAGCGGCGGCCGCGCCGCAGACACCGCCCGGCCGCCGCGTGCCGCCGCCGGCGCCGCGCCGTTGTTTCCGTCGTCGCCGCCGCCGTGGTGCTTGAGGCTGAGCTCGAGCGTGTCGGCCATCGATCCGTGAGGCGCGCCGCCCCTGCCGAGGACGGAGACGAGGCGGCGAACGACCGCCCTGCAGCCGCCCTGCAGCCGCGGCTCGTCCGTCTGCATGAGGAGCGGGACGTCGATCTTTGCAGCGTACAGGGCGGTGGGCTGTGATGTGTTGCTAGGTGCTAGTCGATGCGAGCTTCCTTCTGCAAGAGCGAAAGAATTCAGTGTCGGATCTGTGTGCAGGGTTTTCTTTTTCTCTCGCGAATATTAACGAGAGAAGAATGGTGTTTCGGGGGCACCTCTCGCTGCTGCTGCCTTGCTTGCTGCTGGCCGGCTCCTGCTCCGCGCTGCGAGCGGTGGGTCCGCGCGCGCCGACTGCTGCTGCTGCCTCTGCGGCCATCTCGCGCAGCGTCGCCCCGCGCGCCAGCGGATCGAGCGTGGTCGACATCTCGTCGAAGACTGAGTTTGAGGCGGTGCTCGACGTGCGGCTCACCCACGCCTGCAGCCCCCGCCGCCCTCGCCACCCTCGCCGCCGGCCCAAGCACGCCACGGCCACCTCGCCGCCGTGACGGTCGGGCTGCCGCCGCTCCCATCGCTGCCGCAGCCAGTG